TGCGCTCAATGTGCTCATCCAAATCTATCTCTCTATCTATCGCTTTCTTTAACAGTTTCACCGGAATAATGGTCGTTTGTGAACCGGTATCTAATAGTGCGGTTGCTTCGATACCACATAGCATTATACCTGCTAGCGTCTTGTCCCCAAACAGCTCACTTGTTTCCGACTCAGGTACCCGAAACGATGTGCACACCCACTTTTCTACTAGGGAGGCGTAGGCTGCATTAGGCCTCTGCTGAGCACTCACTGTTGATGGGGTACTTTGTTGCCTGCCAAGTCTATCACGACAATCTTTGGCTAGATGCCCCATGTTACCGCAGTTATAGCACCTTGGTGAACCATTCTCCCGTTTTTTCTTTTGAAAATTGGGCGCGGTTTGCGGTCTGTGTCCTATCGTAGGTTTAGATGCTTTTTCCGGGTCGCTTCTCGGGCTACTTTTTGGGCTTCTGTCGTCGATCGGTTCGCCTCGTCTAAAGGTAAGTTGCCCGTGCCTAATTTCACTTCTTCTTTGATCTAACCGTCTGCACTCTTCGGCTGTTTTTAGGCTTCTCTCTAACCTTAGGGCTGCCTCCTTTACTTTTTCATAAGCCTCTTCACACTTACTGGTCTCCAATGCCTCAGTAAGGCAGTAACTTCCCTCCCAGTTAGCTAGCTGCCTACATAGAATCTCGGCCTTCTGCAACGAGGTTGCTTCAGGTGGCATGTCTGGGTATGCCCTATTCGCTAGGCCCTCTAAGGCAAAGCAGAATTCGCTAAGCGGCTGACCAGGTTTCAACGCTAGTAAGCGCAGATTAGCTAGGGCTTTAACGCGTTGACTATTCCCATCTATGCGCATTCTAGCTTTCATTGCCTCGATCACCCCATCGTACGTACCTTCACGTATCTCTCTTGGCAAAGTCTCGAATACCGTCAGCGCATTTTTTCTGAGGAAACTTTGAAATAATTGCACTCTGTTAGAGTCCCTCCACTTTTCCTTGGGGTACTTCATATCAAAGGAGTTCACAAATCTTTTAAAGCATTCGCCTGGCCTACCAGAAAAAGGCTGTACTTCTGGCAATGACATGGTGCGAATGTAATCACCCAGTGAAAACTCAATCGCCTCACCTGTGGCCGATGATTGTCGCATTTCGTGACATTGCTCGAAGTCTCCTCTCCGCATAGTCTCGTAACACTGCTGGTGCGATGGCGTCCAGATCCTTGAGGAGTGTCTCTGTAATGGTTGGCCAATAACATGCCGTTTTTCCATTGAATCATGTTGTCTCATTGAATTGGACTCACCCTGAGCTGCTTCGGCGCTGTTATCATGATCCATGGGGGCATTTGCCTTACGTTGCCCCAGCTCTTCCACCTCTTGGCGCAGTTGTTCGATCTGTAAATCCTTTTGAATTAGTTGCAGACGCAGCTCGTCGGAAGTCTGCCTCTCTACACTCAAGGCTGTGGATAATCCTTTGGCTCTCATACTTACTTCAGAATCATGACAGTGCAAAATTCCGCACGCCTCTTCTACTATTTTAGTCATTGCCGTATATTTTTTTATGTGCTCTTGCAGCTGACTTACGCTGCTGATTTGCACTTCCCTCAAGAGATCAAAAACGCGTTCTGCTACTCTAGGCCTACTCAGCTCGCTTATTTCGGCGAGTGTTGCCTTCGCTATTTCTTTAACGAACGCTACTTGCTCCCTAACTGACGCTGCCACACTGTCCCGTCTGGGGTCGTCAGTGCGCATCGATTTTGCTAACTCATTGTCACAAGTGACCCCTACGGTAGCCACCTGGCTGAGCAACTTATTTGATAATCTATCAAAGTCCTTCAAGAAAATCTCACTCACATTCTCGTCGAACATTTCTTCATCGTCGACCGGCGTGCGCAGTAATTCGTCTTCATTTAAGTGAGCCATTTTTGATTCTGCACGAAACCAGTAATCTTTATTCACAGAACTTCCACCTCTGTTGAAACGCACTTCACGATGGTCACACGAGAGATACGCTTGACTTTCACGGCGTGCTACTTGTCGAAAATCACGATCAAAAAAAAATCGGAGTTCGATGATCAAATGCGATCGAAAGGAATAAATAGGTTACAAACTGAGAGAAATCAGACCACGCTCAGAATTCCACAGTTGCTATCAATCACTCCCGACCACTAGTTCAAAGTCGAAGTCACGGCTTATCCGGAGTTCGACACCAACCCTTTCTCGATCTAGGACCACGACTCACCAACTAGCCGAAATATGTCGTATCGATCCTAGTCCACCTTACAATCGAATCTATATTTTCAGACAAAGGTCGAATTCACGGCGT